CGTAACGTCACCATACACAGAAATATATCATCACAATCATCATAATACTCATCATAAATCGAGGTATCTCACACACTACAAGTTCCCTAGGTTCATCTAAGCCTTCCTTCACTCGAGTACGGATCCTCTACTTTCAGTAGTACGGGCCCATACTACCTTCCACATCTATTCGTACTTTCCTCAAGAACTGCCTTGACTCTATCAAGTCCCTTCTACTGATACTGTTGTTCTCATGTTAATCTCATCCTAGGCTTGCCCTAAGGTAACCACCAACCCACTGTCTGCCATCAGTTGCATAAGAAGTTCCTGTTATCTCCCCCTAAATAGCTTACGAATACCATTACATATCACTAAGACTAGATAATTCTTCGAATGAGAGGTCCTACCCTACAATGTTTATACTCAAACAAGAGCTGCGAAATAAGGCTAAATCTAACCTTTTGAAATTATTTAGTCCTCATAATATGTAACTTTACATATTCGTTTACTAGTTAGTAAAAGATAACTAGAACTCCTAAAAGCACAAAGCAAGCAACATTCATGCATTGTGCAAACATAATCAAGCATATCCTATCAGGCCATCATATCACTGACTAATTTGTACTAGTATGTAGTTTATAAAGTTGATATACATATAACAGGCACATAAGACATACTTCCTAGATCCTTAGCCATAATCTAGCATGTAGTTCTTGTACACATATAACAGGCACACAAGGCATCATTCTTAGATCCTTAGCCCTAATCTAGCATGTACTTCTCATAACCATATCATAACATAAACTTGTATGGGCAATTAGGGAGTACTTATTTGAGCTTGGATGATTGCATGCACCACACCTTTTTCTCTTTTCAGGGTTCTTCTCTCTTTTCAAAATTCTATTCTTTTTTCAAAGTTCTTTTTATAAAAATGATTTTTTTTATGAAAATTTTCATACCAAGTCCTAAGTTTGAGTCCAGACACACTCGAGAGTGTGTCCGAATCCATGAAACCAAGGCTCTGATACTAACTTGAAACATCCCAAAAATACAGTCCAAATTTTTGGTAATTATAAATAAAAACCATAAGTAGCATTGATCATATAAACATCATAATCGTGTATCTTATAATTATCATAAACAGCTGTCACTATATCAAAATCATATGTCAAAATATCAGAGTAATCATCTCAGGTTAGAAGTTGTGGTGTGTACTATGCAGTTATCTCGAGCTCTTCCCCTTACTAGAGGAAGTACCTGAAACCAAAACTGAAAACTGTAAGCATGAAGCTTAGTGAGTCCCCCCAAACTACGACATACCATACACATAATCACATAATAACATACATTAGGCCTTGCCTGCTACATCAGGCCCCACCCGACATTGAACGAATCCAGCATCGGGCCCCGCCCAACATTGGACCGAAATCTAGCATCGGGTCCCGCTCGGCATCGGACCGAAGTCCGGTATACATATAACATATCAACAAGCATATAACATAAACACATAACATAAACATATAAGCTAAACCTTCCTTGGGATTTCCCCGACATCAATCCGAAGCCCGGAACATATAACACATAACATATAAGCTAAACATTCCTCAGGCTTGCTCTGGCATCGGAACGAAGCCCAGAACCTATAACACATAACATATAAGCTAAACATTCCTCGGGATTTCCCCGACATCGGACTGAAGCCTGTAACATATAACACATAACATATAAACTAAACATTCCTCGGGCTTGCCCCGACATTGGACCGAAGCCCAGAACATATAAACATACACATGCAAGAATCATGAAGACATCAATCATACAAACATTCCTCGGGCTTGCCCCGACATCGGATCGAAGTCCGAAAACATACAATCTACATCGGGCTAACCCCAACATCGGAACTAAGTCTGGCATACGCTAACATATATAAACGAGCTGACATTGGTGCCTTCGACCCGTTTCTACTGGAGGAAAACTCACCTCAAACTGCTGAAGTCATGCTAATAAATCTCTGACTACTGGGTGTCAGATTCCCAAACTGTCAACATCAAAACAGAACTCAATTAACCATTTGGGTTTCAATGTATAACCATAAATCCACACTTGGGGTAAAAGGACCATTTTACCCTTAACCTAGCTTGGCACAAGACCAAGGCCCATACTCATTCTCTGAAGGCCCGAAAGTCAAACAATAAACCAAAGCCCAACACATGACCTAATTTTCTAAATTGGGCCCAAACCTCTACACGGTCTTAACTTAATACCCAACCATTTATTCTAGTCTAAACACTTGGCATTATGATGGTCCAATATCTCATAATCATCAAGGCCCAAATATGGCCCATATTAGCCCAATTTTCCAAATTGGGCCCAAGCCATTCCAATGAGCCTTATCCTAAAGCCCAATTCAATATTCTAGTCCATATACTTGTTCTTGGATGAACCATCAATAGTCTAAACATCTAGGCCCAACAAAAAATGCCCAACTCAAAACCAAACACAATTAGGGTTTTCACATGAAATGACGATTAGGGTTAAGTGTTCTTACTTAACCAATTAAGGACTTAACCTATTAGTTACAATATCGCGTTAAGATAATTATAGGGGCATTATTATGTATTTTTTAGAAATTTAATTAATGACTTTAATACGGGTCCCGACAATCCAAAACTAACATCTCTTAAATTAAAGTTTTCTAAACCCTAATCAGGGTTTCCTCCCAAACACAAGCCAATTAGGTTACAAATTAGGTTTGTGGGTCAATTAGGGCTTTATTAGGCCAAGCACCACCCACTGCCAACTCGGGCGGTGGTGGTCGACAGCGGCAGCCACCACCTCACGGTGGTGGTGGGTTTCCCTTCCATTCTTCCGCAAAAAAAAATGTTTAAACAAATCCCATTCTACTAAACACACTCAAAACACCATAACAAACATACACAACCACCACCATATGACGGCTGGTGGTTGTGTAGCGGTGGCAGCCACCACCTCATGGTGGTGACGGTGGATTTCCGACCAAAAAGAAAACATACACACAATCATTAGACTTGTAACAGCAACACACGACACTAATACATAGTAGAAACACAATCAAACACAAACAAACACACCCGCCAACTTAAATTTTTATTTTTAAACAATTAAATTCATACAACCATTTGTTCCAAAACCAATCAGAGTAAAATGTATCTTTAAAACATCAGAGTAAACAATAACAATTAGTTCGGAAAAGTCATCAGGGAATACAGTGTAGTCAAAGCGGGGCATTTCCTTTGAAACTGGAAGTACCTAAAAATGTTTAAACCACAAAATCGCAAACATAAAGCTTAATGGGTTTTCCAAAATACCACATACCATACATACATTTGTCATGGGGCTATGTTTTTGTCAAAAATCAATAGTGATCTTCTTGAATGTTCAGCTACAAGAAAAGCGATGGTTTTTGGTTTATTTACATAAGGAACCTATCTCATTTTGGCTAAAAGGCCTACCTATTTCAGTTTTATTTACATAAGGAACCATGTGGTTTTTGGTTATAGATTCGCCACTAATAAAGTTATTATGGCAGAACTCATAAATTATCATTAATTGATGGAGCATCTGTGGTTTATTAGCACATCAATTTGAGATGATAAAAGACTTTGAGGTTATCAAGCGGGTTTGCATGGTTATTCACATCTTATTTGTGATCCTTAGTATCTCAGTCACAAATTAAAGAACAAAATCTAATATTAAACATGTCATTGATAAGATTCAATGAATCTGAAATGATCTTGGAAATTTATATAGACTGAAATTGGTAAAGTGCATTACCTGCCTTAAATAAATTACTGATTAGATTACGACATCCATTTTCTTAATTTCGAATTGCATTATATGATCCTAGTCATGAATATTAAAATTGGGTTAAAATATTAAGAATTGAATAAACTAATTAAAATCTTTTCCTTTTCAGAAAAGCCTTCAAGTGGTGAACTTCCTCCTCCTACATCAAACTTGTAACATCTCGTTTGTTAAATAAATAAATAAATAAAATTTGATGAATGAATAGTAGCCCTAAAATCCATAATATTTACTGGGGTGTTGGTTTTGAGGAGCCAAATGTTATAATTTGGATTATTCGGGGGGTTAAAGTGTAATTTTGGGATTTATTTTGTAAAGGTTTTTAGAAGATAAGGGTGTTTGGTAAGTATTGGACTTATTATGAAAGAACTTTGAAAACTGAGGGTTGTTGGGTAAATTGCGGACTTGAATTGAAAAGGATTTCAGAAGGCAGGGTATAAATGGTAAATTATTTTTTGGAATGTTATAAGCCGAGAAAAAACAAAGCGGATTAGCCGATAAGAAAGGGGTTTCAGCTCGGCTCCAAAGTGGTCACTGTTCATCAACCCATACGGCTTTTAATATGTATAATAATAATAATAATAATTTTCAAACTTACTTCATCGTCTTGTTATGGTTCTCACTTATTGATCTTTCTTCTCTTTAAATACAAATCGCTGAAACATTTATATTGTAGCTAATTAGAAGCTTAGTTTATGTATTAATGTAATCTGATTTTCGTTTTAAAAAATATATATATTATCTTTTAAATTAAAAATATTATGTTGTTTTTGTATAACATTTTAAAGTTAGTATTACAAAGATCAAAATAAATGCTTAAAAAACATCAGGGAATAAATCAAGAAGAAAAAGGAAACTGCCAGTTCTAGATAACAGCCCACGAAATCTGGAGCCCACGTCCTTCTGAATTAACTAACTGTAGATCATAATGGTAGTTTCGTAATTCTTCCTGATAACGTGGCTAAGGGACATGATGGCATGCAACGTAATTTCTCCGAACATGGGGGATAAAAGTTGACACGGAAGTGCAGGTTACTCCCAACCGTTTTGCTTCCTCCTCCACAAAATCAGATTAAACGCAGTTACTCTCCCATATCTTCATTTTCATTCTCCCATTTTCTCTCTGCTACACACACAGATCAAACCCTAGTGATTAATCGCCTTTTTCGAAACCAAAAATGGCAAAAACAAGCAACGTGTTGACCACAATCCTGAACGTATTGACCTTACTCTTAGGAGTCCTCCTCATCTTCGGCGCAATATGGACCACCGTCCACCCCGGCGGCGAGACTTTATGTGAGAAAACATTCGCGAAGCCCTACTTGTTCACCGGAATATTCCTCGTGGTTCTCGCCGTTCTTGGAATCGTAGGCGCCACTTTCAAAATAAACGCCATATTATACATTTACTCCGCCGTGTTGCTCATCATAATCCTGGGCTTACTCGCCTTCGCAATCTTCGCTCTGGTCGTGACAAACAAAGGGATCGGGAAGGCGGTTTCCGGTCAGGGGTTTCAGGATTATCGGATTGGAGATTATTCAAAGTGGTTGAAGAAGCATGTCGTGAATGAGAACAACTGGGCGAAGATCAAGAGTTGTTTATCGGATTCACGTATTTGCATGGCCCTCGCTCAATCCAAAAACAGTGGTGATTTCTATCGGCGTAATCTCAACCCTCTAGAGGTATGCATTCATCATTAACTTATACCATTAATCCAATTCAAAATGAATATAAAGTTTCTATACATATCAATGATGTAAATTTGTGTTCTCATCACATTTTTTGGGTAGTCCGGTTGCTGCAAACCTCCGGGAGACTGCAAGTTCCTGTTCGTGAATGCGACTTACTGGCAGGCGCCAAAATCAGGCCCTGGATCGAATGATCCCGACTGCACAACTTGGAGCAATAACCAGAAGAAGCTGTGCTACAACTGCGGATCTTGTAAGGTTGGAGTTTTGACTAACATGAGGCATTTGTGGAGGGGATTTGCTGTTCTTAATTTCAGTATTCTTATCTTTGTTATCGTCATCTACTCAGTTAGTTGCTGTGCAATCCGAAACAATCAAGCGATACCAGAACCATGCCATATCTAGATATTTAGGGTCATGGTAGATCGAGGCTGCTTATTTATGTTCTAACTTATGTAGTAGACTTTTTACTTTGGTTTGTTTTGATGATATTAGGGTATGTAAGATAGGAGTGCGTACTTTCTTAACCTTAATTAAGACTTTTGTATTTCGTAGTTGTTGGTGTTTTAGTATAATGATCAGTTTGCGTGTCATGCATGATGCATATGTATACATCATAGATTGTGATCATCCAATGTTTCTTGACACAGTAATTAACCCGATGTCGTGAGACTTTTGGTCATTAATTGATTTATGAATATAGTTACGAAATAACTATTCAATATTTAGAAAAACCTTAACTTTCAAATCCTTGTAAATATTAGGGAAAATGACTTATATACCCTATTAAATTTCTAGGGTTTACCTATTGTTGGAATTTTGTTCTATAAAATTACACTTACTCATTTATCAATGGATCAAGTAATGGATTAAGTAAATTGGGTTTGGATTGTGGTGTTGGACTAATCAAATTGGGCCTAGTAGTAGGCTTGGATTATTAAATATTAATGGTTAAGAATAGACCCTTGGGCTCTTGATTAAATAATATTTATATATATAATCTGAATTTAGTTAGTCATTAATTAATTTTTATTTATTTAATAAATATTAATGGCCAAAGATAGGGTATTGCAGCTCTTGGGCTCTTCTTGACTAAATAATACTATTATATATAATTCGAATTTAGTTATTCATTAATTAATTTTTATTTATTAATTATAAAACAAATTATGTTAGATAAAAGATTAACTGTAGTTAGTTTTTTAGCAATTAATTTCGGTTGGTGGTTTATAACCACCATTGCAAGCCTATAAATGGAGGATTTCTGATAGAATTTAAGAGGCTAATGAACTACAAACACTTTCTCTGAAAAATCGTTCTTGATGTCAAAAGGGATCATGGTGAATTTCAACAGATTCAAGATTTGTTCTTGAATTGGTTGTGGTATCCTCAAGACAGACCCATTCCAGAGAAATTTCTATCTTATAACACTACAAAAGCAGACCTCAATCTATACATATTCGTGATATATTTTCTGTGTAGTCAACATTCAAGTATGTTTTCTGTAATCCAATTCTTGTATATTACATATATTTGAATTTTGTTTGTGTTATTTCTATTGGTTTTGTTTATTGTATACTTCTGTCTTAACAATCTAAGATAGAAATCAAGGAGTGAAGAATGGATCAAAATTTCATCATCCAAACACATGTGGAAAAGCCTGAGAAATTCAAAGGCTCAGATTTCCGGAGATGACAACATAAGATGTTGTTCTATCTAACAACTCTTCATGGTTCCAATGTTCTCACTGATGATTCTCCCTCTCCTCCTACTGGTGTAACCACTGCAGAAGGAACAAAACCACCCACTACAACCCAATTGGCAGAACATCAAAGGGCTGTGGAAACTTGGAACACAAATGAATATAATTGCAGAAATAATATTCTAAATGCCCTGGATGATTCCCTCTATGATATCTATTCTACGATCACTAATGCAAGAGAGATATGAGAATCACTGGAAAAGAAATATAAAACAGAAGTGACATGTTCGAAGAAATTCGTGATTGGAAAGTTCATGAATTTCAAGATGATGGATACGAAATCAGTACTCAAACAAGTGGAGGAAATTCAAGTCATTGCATATGATCTTGAAGTTGAAGGTATGGGTATAAACTCTAACTTTCTTGTTGGTTCAATCATTGAAAAATTTCCTCCTTCTTGGAAGAATTTCAAACTATATCTTAAACACTTAACTGATAACATGAGTTTTGGGCAACTTGTGTTGAGAATTCATGTAGAAGAAGATAACAGATTGAATGAGAAGGTAGATGCAAATTCCTTAGGACCCAGTGCAAACTTTGTATGACAAGCAAGTTCTTCAAGGACAAAGCATAACAATAAGAAAGGAAAACAAGGATCCAAAAATTCTTCCAAAGATGGCAAAAATCATGACCCTAACAAGAAGAATTTCAAAAAGAATTCTGGTCCATGCTATGTTTGTGGCAAAACTGGACACAAGGCCAAAGAATGCAGATTCAGGAGAGGTCAAGGAGGAAACAATGAAGGGAATAATGGAGGGAACAATGGAAACAATGGTGGCAATTATGGTGGAGGAAATTCTGGTCAAGCCAGCATGGTTGAATCACCAAATCAGTTTGTTGATGTGATTCAAACCAACATGGTTAGCAATTGTGTGGATTGGTGGATTGATATTGGAGCCACAAGGCACATTTTCAACTCCAAACCATGTTTTCCACATACCAGAAAGTCTCGGATTCTGAACCAATGTTTATGGGGAATGGCTCTACTGCAAAAGTTGAAGGAAAGGGAAAAGTGAAGCTACAACTGACTTCTGAAAAAGAACATGTTTTAAGTGATGTCTTGCATGTTCCTGAAATTACTAAGAATCTGATTTTTGGTCCTATTCTTAGTAACAAGGGATTCAAACTTGTATTGGAGTCTGGTAAGTTTGTTCTCACCAAAGATAGGATGTATGTTAGAAATGGATACCTTAGTGAGGGTCTCTTCAAAGGCAGTGTCTTACCTTTGTACTATGGTGTTGAAACACCAAACAATAATGTAACCAATGTTAATGCTATTGCAATAATGGGCACTACTAGCCCCTCTTCTATGTATATGCATGATCCTTTAATTTTGTGGCATTGTCGATTGGGACATGTCAATTTTCTCTCTATTAAACGAATGGCAAAACTTGGCATGTTACCAAAATGTTCATTAGACAAAAACATAAAATGTGAGGTTTGTGTAGAATCAAAATTTTCATAACATACTCATAAATCAGTTGAAAAATCTAATGGAATACTTGGCTTAATCCACTCTGATTTATGTGACTTTAGAGCAACACCTACAAGAGGAGGAAAAAATTATTATATTTCTTTTATTGATGATTGCAACAAGTATTGTTATATTTATTTGTTAAATACCAAGGATCAAGCCTTGAATTCTTTTAAGAACTACAAGGCTGAAGTTGAAAATCAACTTGATAAAAAGATCAAAATTCTAAGGTCTGATCAAGGAGGAGAATATGAATCCAAAGACTTTTCTGAATTTTGTTCTTTAAATGGTAGTATACATCAAACAAATGCTCCATATACTCCACAACAAAATGGAGTTGCTGAAAGGAAGAATAAAACATTGAAAAACATGATAAACTCAATGTTAATAACTTTTCGAGCACCCCATAATTTGTGGGGAGAAGCATGTCTTGCAGCAAACTCAATACTCAATAGAATTCCTCATAAAAAGAGTGACAAATCACCCTATCATATGTGGATAGGGAGATTACCCTCTTATAAAAGGATGAAAGTGTGGGGTTGCCTGGCTATGGTACAAGTACCTCTTCCAAAGAGGACTAAACTTGGACCAAAAACCATAGATTGCATCTATCTTGGCCCTACCATGAATAGTGCAGCCTATAGGTTTCTTGTGTATAAATCACATGTTGATGAGATCCACAACCAAACCATCATGGAATTAGCAGAGGCTGAATTCATTGAAAATATTTTTCCTTTTAAGGATAAAGGGAAAGAGGTTGTCTGCTCTAGGAAAAGACCTCTAGATGATCGACTGAATGATACCATTCCAGACAAAAGTTTACAGTCAAATGAAGAGAATTCTTCAAAGGTTCAAGAAGAGAACTTAGAACCTAGAAGAAGAAAACGGGGCAAAATAGCCAAAGATTTTGGACCTGATTACATGACCTATGTAGTGAATAAAGAACCACAAACTTATAAGGATGTTATGGATTCTTCTGAAGCTCCCTTTTGGAAAGAAGCAATCAAAAGTGAGATTGACTCCATTGTGCAGAATAACACTTGGAAATTGGTAGATTTGCCACCTGGACAAAAACTAATTAGGCACAAATGGATATTCAAGAAGAAGTTTAGACCTGATGGTACCATTGAGAAGTACAAAGCTCGTTTAGTAGCGAAAGGGTATCGTCAAAAGGAGGGTCAAGAATTCTTTGACACCTATTCACCCGTTACAAGAATTACATCAATTCGTACATTAGTAGCAATTACATCCATTCACAATTTGGAAATACACCAAATGGATGTGAAAACTGCCTTATTGTATGGTGAACTAGATAAAGAGATATATATGAATCAACCTGAAGGGTTTTTGGTTAAAGGTTAAGAAAACAAAGTCTGTAAGTGTCACAACTAGAAATTTTGATGCCTTGTAAACATTAAACAAATATACCAACTGTAAACCAACAATGTGAAAGCAGGTATGATGCTTATACAACAACAACAAAACTTCAATCAAACACTTCATATAAGCACTGCAAATAGTCAACAAAGAATTGGAACCCTAGAAATCCCAATTTAAGTCCATTTTGGACTAGGATTTCCTTATTGGGCCTAATGGGCCAAAGAGCTTCCAATTTGACTATCTTGGGCTTAGAACTCTTAAATGGGCTTTAACTGGACCCACTACCATTTATTTTATTATTTTGGGACTAGAATGAAATAAAATACTTTAATGGGCTTTATTGGGTCACAACCAATTTAATTTAGCCCTAATAGGTCATAAAAATCATTCCTTGACTTATGTTGGGCGAAAATCATCAAATTAAATCATGATATGGGCTTAAGCATACAAGGCCCAATTTTCTTCCTTTCTCCTCTCCATTCTTGGCCCAACAACCCAAGAAGGAAGAGTTGACTTTTGCTATGCCACCTCACTATTACTTGTTGGGTTTCCATGCAAAAATCTCATGCTTCCATACAACCGTCACTTCATTTAATCTCTCTTCCCCTCTGTCTTCTTCTCTCGGACAAAACACAACACAAACACACACACACACACACACATTTCACTCAAAGCTCTCTCAAGGAAACTTCCTCCGCTCCTCAATAAGCTCTTGAAATTTAGAAGATTTTTCAAGAAGATATTCCACAAATTCATCATGTAAGGTAAGTTCATGCTTGGATCTATGAT